CTGGGCCCACTGATATGTATGGTATGTGGTATTTTGGGGAACTCACTAAGCTTTGTGATTACGGTTTTAAGTTTAAATATTGCAGGTCTTTTTGGAAGTTCGGGAAGAGCACGACGTGACTGCATCGCATCTGTTGTTATGTTTTCAAGATGTTCTGCATTATGATAATACTTTGATCTATGCTTTTGAAATAATTGAATATTTACTTTTATGAATCAATGACATGGTTTCCTTTAATTTTAGAAATGAAAATTTTGGTTTGAAATTTGAGACATTACAATCTTTCACCGTAAAGGATAATGCCCTAAGCTTGATTTGTTCCTCAATGACATTGTGTGGTTTCATGCTAACACACATACACACACACCCATGGAACAAGGTTATTGACTTGTGGGGATCTTCATTTTTGAGTCCTTGAAAGGTAGGCAGGAAGTGTATATGCCCATATTTTAGTTCGAGGTTGATGGTTGTTAGATAGGTGATGAAAGAGGTTGTTAAGTGACCCCTTGCCCGCCCATTAGTGAAGGTTTGCTTGGGCGGTTGATTTGGTGGTCTGTTGTTGTTGTTGCCTGACATATTGGGAATTAGGATTGAGGTTTATGTAGGTGTAAGGTCTGGAGTATTATGAAAGTGGATAGGAGGGTGGAATGGTGTTTCTAGACGAGGATAGATGAGGTGATAATGATAGAGTTTCCGTTTCTGTTTCTGATGCACTTCAGAGGGGTATGTCCTTCCAAATGTTAATGACCGGAGGGGTGAATGACGAAGAAGTCCCGGTATCCAGTTGTTTCTTCCGTAACATCTTTGTTGTCTTCTCTATCTCTGTATCAATAGCTAATGGTGTACTTGTACAAGAAGATCTAGGCATAAAACAATTACAAATTTTGCAATTTAGATAACGGAATACTTTAATCATAATTCAAATGGCCAATAAGAATCAAAATTAAAATTAAACTCTTTATTGTAACAAAATCGAATTCACTAGATAGAAATTGAACATAAACATGAATTCATATGATTAAACCACAAACGACAAGTCAAGACATAAAATTGGAAAACCTAGGGTTCTAGCCACACACGACTAGAACAAAATCAACAAGCCTAGAAATGAAACTAAAGTACTAAAGTGGCTTACAAAGATGAAATTAAATGTTTTCAAATAATATCCTGAAAGTTATTAGCTAAAACCCTTCTTCAAAAATTACCCATTGGTCGCCTGGAATGAGAGATAATGTGCGTAATGGCTAAAAGTCTCGAATTAGGTCAAAAAAGAAAACTGCCAAAAGGCAGTTACGCGTCTGACACGACACTGTGTCAAATATGGCTATATTGACACGATCCCGTGTGGATTCAAAGTATGTTGTCTTCTTTTGACTCGAAAGTTCGTGGCTAAAAAATGGCCAAAATATGCATTGACACGACCTCGTATCAAATTGTGATGGGTTGACACGACTCGTGTCAAGTGTGACGACCTGTGTGGATTTTGAAGCACAAACTCACATGACCTGTGTGAGGCCTTCTACGATGAAAAAACTCAATTTTCTCGTTTTCGTTCCAAAAAGTTCAAAAATCTACTTTGGGCCCCTTTTCACCATTCCAAATCATCTCCAACCACCGAAACCAGCTGAAATGACATAAAAGTGTGGAAATGAAATGTACCAAAATTTGTCTCGAAAACAAGTAAATGCATGGTTTATTATTAAATACAATGCAAAAGAGTGTAATAAAGATGCTAAAAAGGCACATAAAATGCATCCAACATTATTTTTATCAACTAACTTATAAATGAGTAATTTTTCAGTTATCAACTAACTTTTCAGCTATTACGTCAACCATAATCTAAATATAGTTTATACAATAAGGTTTTGTTCAAAACATTGTTAAAAGTGGCTCATGTCATTAACTTAAATAGCGGTCTAGTGGTTGATTTAAGAGCTTGAATGGTCACAACAAACATAGTTCATAAATCCATAAATGACAACCGTTTAACTATTAAGATTCGAAGTTCGAAGAGGAACATTTTTTAAAACTTAAACAAATATGGTGTGGTTTGGGGCCAATAAATAATAAATATAGTCGAGTTGTGTCCAAATGGAAATTAGATAGATGCCCCGGCCATATAAAGTATAAGTTTAGGTGGAGCTGCGGATGCGACCCACTTCACGACGGACACACGTGCGGGAGACTGAGAGCTACTCGGAGAAACATGGAGAAAGGTTCTGCGAATGGCTCGTCGGCGGTGAAGAAGAGTCCGAAATCGTCGGCTAAGGTTAACTAAAACCCCAATTTATTTGAGTTTGTTTCGATCATGGCTTCTTTGTTTTATAATTCTGATAAACATGAAGCATAATACGTCTTTCATCTCCTTTTTAGGGTTTTCAAGCGATTTTAGGGTTTTATGTGTACCTGTTACATGTTGTACATTTTCCTAAACCCGATCTGCGTTTTTCCTCATTGAGATTATGATTTTGTTTTTCAGTTTGAAGTAATTCTTCTTCGTTGCTCAATCTATGGCCCTACCACCAATAATAAAAAAATTGTCCGACTGTTTTTCTGTATCTTGTGTGCTGAGTACATGAAACTCTGATAGATTAGCTTGGTATGCGATTTTTATTAAGCTTGTGTCAATTCTGCACATGAAAAACACCAGGTTGGGACTAAATGCTTAGTGTTGTAGAGTTATCTTTGTGCTGCTTACTTACTAAACGGCTTCTGTAATGAGTCTACAGCTGGAAACTACACATTATCTGCAAGTAAATTTGTATCAGGTTCTTTCTTCATATGTATGGATTTGTAGGGTTTTGAAGATGATTTTGTTTTATCTGAAATTTTTTTGTATATGAATTGTTTTCAAGATTGATGTGGGTGTTATGCAGAGAGTGAGGGGCCCACCTCAGAGTTCTGTTGACACATTTGCTGTGCAATGTAACGAGTGTTTCAAATGGAGGACATTGACAACAGAAGAAGAGTTTGAAGAGTACAGAAGCAAGCAGAGTGAAGATCCATTTGTTTGCAAAAAACTGAAAGGGATCGAATGCGATAGCCCTGCTGACATTGAATATGATTCCTCACGAACATGGGTGATGGATAAACCCAACATCCCAAAAACTCCAAAAGGTTTTCAAAGAATAATTATTCTGAGAAGAGATTACTCTAAAATGGATGTGCAGTATGTGACACCTGATGGAACAAGGATAAGAGCAGCTCCTGGAATCATGACATATCTTAAAGAACATCCGGAATACAGTGATATCTCAGCAACTGATTTCTGCTTCACATCTCCAAAGGTAATGAGTGATACCATTCCTGAACATATTGAGAAGAAAAGTCCAGCTGGCAGCAACAAGAAACCCAAAAAGTCAAGTTGAATCATGTTTCTCTTGATCATGTTTCTGCTTCTGCGTGTTTTAAAGCCTTTTATTATGATGATGATGATGACATAGAACGAGGTATCCTTTCTATCGTATTGTATGTTAATTTTAAAATTTCTGTAGTTTTTGGTGACTTGGTAGGAATCAGGGAATGGTATCTTGTATGCAGTCTAGTATGTGGATTATGATGATGATGATGTTGGTGCGATTATATTATTATGGATATATAATTGAGCCTTCTGAGTTTCATCGATTTTTTTTTTTTTTTGCTACATGATGTGGGTAAGGATTCACTCTCAATCTCTCATGTGCAATGTGTAAAAGAAGACTTGAATGACCTCCTTACCCCTTAGAAAGCTTAACTGGTTATTGTCCATTTCCAATGTAGCAAGCGTAAATTCATTTTACTTTTACTCTTTTTTCATTGAACATATATCAAAATTTCATCTTTTAAATATCGAACAATCTATTTGGTTAACAAATTTCAGCCAAACTAAAGTGGGCGCATTAGCTAGTTTTGGTTTGGTTTAGCTTGGCTTGGCTTGGCTTGTCGGTTTAAACCATAAAAAACATGTTTAAAATACCCTTCAGATTAAAATAAAGGTACCAAGTCATAAATAAAATACCCTGAAAATCAAAGATGAACATCAACATAAATAAGGATCGCAATTTGCAAGCCTATAATGGAGTGGAAATCCCAAATCTCAATCGTAGTCAAAGCTACAACATGCTATAAGCACACAACAATGATCTCCAAAGCTCGAGTGTGGAAACTCTGTCAACATCTTTGATATAACCATTATATCTCCTAAACTACCAGACGTATATCACAAAAATACAGAGTAAGACTTAAAAAAAAAAAATTGAACGGCAGGATTCAATAAATAAATCATATCATATTATACTTATAAAGAATAACATTTTTTCTATCACCACAATCATTTGAAACTTTCATGTATTTTCGTATTTCTTTATAATAATGACTAGTTTATAACCCGTGGAAACCACAGTTACAAAATTAATTAAACTTTCATAGTAAAAACTCAAAATTATTAATTAATTATTTTAAATAAATTATTAATTAAGAGATATTTTTTAGTTATATATAATTATAGTCGTTGATTTAAATAAATACGTGACCTTATAATCTGGATTAATTTTATTTTTATTTTATTTTAATGTTATTTAATTTATTATAATTAGAGTGAGAAATTTAAATTTGGGAAAATGACACAAATGCCCTACGAATTTTCTAGGGTTGACCTATTTAGTCCCTAAATTATTTTGGTGGCTTTATGAGGGAACAAAGTCGTTTTTTTTCCGGTCGATTACGTCCTTTTGGCCAAAGTGAAGGAGTCATCCGGTTACTACTTTGCCACATTAACATTTGTTGACCAATTTCCTTTGAATTTCCCCAATTTGTTGACCAAACTTTGCCATATCACCAATTCTGCTCCGATTGAGTTCATTAATTTGGAGAAATTTTCAAGACTATCACGTAGGTGTCAAGATAAACACCACAATATTTATATAACAAACAAACTTGAAGGAGATTTGAGATGTTTTGGGCTAATTGCAGCATTCATCACTGAATCCTCTGTAATTTCATATAGTGCCTTCAATAAAGCCCTAAACCCTTCTGTATAAAATGGATATTGAAACGCCTCTCCTTCGACCTCCATCATCCATTCCTGCTGCATTCACAACTACTTCTTCTTCCTCCAAAATCTTCATCGGTGTTTCCAACTGGCCTTCTGAATCTAACTTCGCCATTATCATCCTCAACCTATCTCTCCTCTCCTTTTCTCTTTCACCGAATAGTTTCACTGGTTCACCTAACTGCCTTAGTCTCCTATTTCTCTCTAAACAACCTGCTATCTTCTGAGGTTTCGTATTCAGAGCCTGATTCGTCACCATCTTCGTCGGAATCAACGTTTTGTTTATAGCTTTGCAGTGTCGCCATTTGGGGACGAATATAGAGGAAGAAGGGCAAGCGGACGTGGGATTGAGGGAGTCGAAGGAGGAGTATTGGGATTTGAGCTTGGAGGTGTGATTGCGGTTGGGATTTATGGAATCGAAGAAGATTCAACTGGTGTGATTGGTTGTGGAGGTGAATTGGTGGCATTAGGTTTACAGTTGTTCTTATCGTCGATCTCCATTTCTATGTCATCGGTGATGTGGCAAGTTTTGTCTGTAAACCGACTACAAAAGAAGGGGACCAAAAAACAGGTTGCCCGTGAATTGGCTCCCTCATAGAACCACTAAAATAGTTAGGACTAAAAAGGTAAACCCTAGAAAGTTTATATGGCATATGTGTTATTTTCCCCATTTAAATTTTGACAATTGAAATTAAGAAGAACTAGATTGACATGTGGCATGACATTAATTATGAGGACTAATATGGTGATACATAACAAAAGGAGAATCAACCTTTTCTTTATTAGAATAGGGATTTCATAAAATCTATTTAAACCTACATAACTTTTCATTAGCATCTAATTAATACCTACCACTCAATAGTTTTTTTTTAACTTATTATACTTAATGGTTCTTATGACACCAATTATTTAAAATTGAGACATATATATATATAATATATATATATATAGATATATATATATATATATATATATATATATACACACACACACAATGGTAAGATTATTATTAGAATGATTTAAAGAGTTGTGTGGTGTGATAGGTAGATGTAGAAACTCCATACAAAAAGATTTTTGATGGAGATCGTAATTAATAAGAAAAATGAAGATGATGATGAGAAGAAAATAGGAAGTTTATGGGTAAGAAATATTGTTTATTTTCTTCTTTCTTATTATCCCAAATTATATTATATAATTATGATTGTTGGAATGAAAAATATTATATATGAAGATGCTCTATTCATTGCCTCCAGATTCACATGAGCAAAAAACACTACTTCACAACAATACAAAACAAGAATAGATAATGGAGTTTGCAAGATCGTGCAGGTTAATGTTCATTTCACTTCAAATTATATAACTAGACTTCTAACAAGATTCATTGGGTGTATGTAATTCTAGGATGATGTAATAGATTGCATGTCATCGTTTAATTTTACAAGTCTTCATGTTGTGTTGGATGTTCGCAATCGCTTCCATGGAAATGGTTGACAATTATGTAGTTGATAAAGCTTATTAAATTGATTTTTTATATTCCATAAAAATGATAAATTTGAGTTGTTGATATATCATTACAGGCTATTATTTTATTATAATCGTTTAATCATTCATGATCTTTTTAAACGAGACGTTTATGATTTAACTGTAAGGTAATTAAAAGTGAAATAAGATTTAGCCATTGCAATTTGCACCTCTAATTTTATGTTATGTTAATGGAAAGCACAGTGGCACGAGACTCTCACAAAATACAAATCGTTTAATTGTTTTATAACGTATGTTTTCTAATAACATATGAGGGCTAAAACTCGTTTTGGGTTTTATAATTATTATTAGTATGGTTAGAATCTACACATAATATTTTGACATCAATTATAGACATCTTTTATTTATAATTTTAACTTCCTTTAATTCTTTGTATTTACGTTATCAATAATTTATATGGTTAATTATTTTTCATATGTTGTAATAGTAAATCAACTTATTACGTAATAAAAAATTAGAACCCCAATACCGACAATTTTAGGAGTGGTTTTGAAATATTAAAAACCGACATAACATGTTCGGGGATCGCTTCAATATTCTAGGGTCGTAGGTTCCAATTTTAATAGGCCTATATATAAAAATGACCCAAAACACATAGATAAACTTATAAATTTCAACATATTTAACCATATATTTGTTTTACTGCGCGACGCGCGGGAATACGCCTAGTAAATAATTAAACTAGCGAGACGCTGGAGATTACAAATACAAGGAGTAAAGTGAGCTCTAAAATAATGAGTGAAGAGACCAATCAATCTATTTTAAATAAATAAAGCGAGCTCTAAATGTGATCCTTTTTTCGAATAGTTGAATTTTTATTAAAAACGAACTAGTAATAAGCTAGAATAAAGGGAAAAATTACATGAAAAGTAAAGGGTTTGTAACCACCCAGCCCAAGAAATATAAGATTTTCTATTTCTACAAGAAAACAAAAGAAACGAATAATCTACCACTAAATGATAGATAAGCTCCTTCGGCAAAACGTGTTACCAAAAACCACATCATTCCTATACCTTCACAGAACCCCCATGTCGTTTGGATAACACTTGAATCGCCATTTTCTTTATTTTGGTTATAGCTAACGAATCTGGCTAAGGCAAAGCCCCTAGCAACAACAACCCAGTACATGCCGCTATCTCACAATCCCCAGACAAGTGTTGTTGTAATTTTTCTGTCTCCAACTGGCAAACCGGACACAGAATCCTTGTAACATCAACATCTCTAGTAGGAAGGTTCGTTCTAAGTGGAAGACGGTCCATAAGTAAACACCATGTAAAAATGTTAACCTTCCTAGGAAGGTAAACATTCCAAATCATGTTACTCTTAACATTCTCTGTTCCACATGCCTTCTAGTACTTTGACTGGAAACTTACCATCATCAACCAAGTCCCACCACCATCTATCAACACCCATTCCCAACCGATATCGCGCTACAAGATATATGAGCACACAAAATTGAGAAGTCTTGAATCCACCAACAAGCTCACGAGACTAATCCCAAACACATTGATCTTCACTACATCGATCCCCCACTAAAAAAAGGGTTCTGTTCAACTTGGAAAAGAGTTTGAAACCAAAAGGCCAAAGGGATTCCATGATACCACACATCCTTCAAAAACATGTAGTAACGTTGTCTCCCACTTTTTGAAAAAGCCGTTAGAAAAGGAATCCCCCTTTTTCATGCACAACACACGAAAGACTTCAAAATACGATTCCCCCCCCCATCCCCGCGTTTAGTAACACCAATTCAAGAAAAAAACAACTCACATGAAAAGCTTTTTATAACTTTTACCCATAGTGCATCATGTTTTCTAAGAAACCACCATCTCCATTTGTGTAACAGGGAGTAATTAAAACATTCTAGACTTCTGATCCCCACACCACCCTGATCCTTTGAAGCAATCACTAAATCCCAGGTTACCCGATGTATCTTGCGAACTATCTTCAGAAACCCAAAAACGTGAGCCCTAAGTGATTCCAACATCTTTTTTACTTGATTTGGCATAAAAAACAAGGACATGAAATAAATTCCCAATGATCCAAAAGATGAAAGCATCATAAACTGACCCTCTATGGTTAACATTTTCACTTTCCAAGAATAAAGCTTCTTCTTAAATCAAAAAAAATGCTCTACCCACCGAACTCGAGTCATATCTTCAGTCACTAGAAGCCCTAGATAAATAAATAGAAGCTTACCCAGGGCACAACCAATAATCGTTGCCATCTCGACCACTTCTTCAGGTTGAACCCCCCACCATACAAATTTGATTTATGAAGGTTCATCCTAACCCTGACACGAGGTAAAAATAGTTAAGCATCATAATCATGTTTATGTATTTCTCTTAGACCACTTACCCAAAAAACCACATCATCGACATAGAAGAGGTGTGACAATATAAGATTATCCGACCCCCCTACTACTCCACTTAAAGCTATATATTTTGCATTTTCAAGGGCCACATCTAATCCTTCCATAACAATAATGAACAAAAATACGAGAGAGCGAGTCACTTGCCTAAGACCTCTCTCGATACAGAACTCCTGAGACGGTCTCTCATTAACTAACACAGACGCTTTAGCCAAGCTCAAGCATGCCTGAATCCATTCTGTCCGTTTAACACTGAAACCCATAAACTATAAAAATTTGCATAGGAAATCCCAATTTAACGAATCGTAAGCCTTTTCAAACTTGATCTTGAACACCATCAATGTCTTTCTCTTCTTTTTAAACCTCATTTACCATTAATGGCTCATCAAGAATTTGACGACCCTTTACAAAATCAGATTGCTTTATATTAAAAATTGATCCAATTACCGAAGCAATCCGATTGGAAGAACTGTAACGTCCTTAAAATTACAACAGAGATTTTTCATTTAAATTAGATTAACCAAATTAAACTGTTTACTAAGAATCATTAAGTGAGATTTATTTATTTGAAAACCATAAGATTAATAGAGTTGATTTTAATACAACGGAAACCAAAATCTTCGATGCGAGTGTACAGTCTCATCGAGCTCTTCACACAAACAACTTGCAAAACATTTAATCCACAACTGTACGCGTAAAGCTTAGTGAGTTCCTCAATATACCACATAATCCCCCATATTACAATTCATACAAAAAAGTTCTCCGGTTGTAACGCCGATCTGCCAGCTCTCCTTTCAACATGCATACAACACACTAAGCATCATATGTATCATCCATCGACACTCTTTCCACTACACATCTTTCCAGGCTACATCCTAGTCTTTCATTCCATTCATTTCCATATCCAAATCAGGGTCATAGCCTAATTTTAGGGTTTTGCACCCTATTTAAACATCTTAAGTCCAGGTGTTAGCCTCATTCCCAGCCTCCATAGCCCCTAACCCTAATCTCGAAATCGTAGGGCCTCCTTGAGTGTTGTGAGCTCATCGTGGGCGTTTGTTTTGGTGTTTTTGAAGCTCATTGAAGGAAGAGAAGCTTAGTGGAAGGTGGTAGTTCAATTAGGAGCTTGTTTGAAGCTCACTGAAGGAAAAGAATCTTAGTGGAAGGTGGTGGTTCAAGTAGGAGCTTTCAGATCTTGATTCTCTGCTCCATTTCCAGCACACTCCGGGTATAAAGTTCTAACCTTGCTTAATATTTTCTTAGATCTCTTCTTGGGTTAGATTGTATGCTTTTAGCCATGGATAGGTGGTTGTTGGGGAAGTAGATGTCCCAAGTGTTATTCTTTCAGA